GCGAAACGAGGACGATGTCGTCGTCAACCGTGCCTTGCCCACCATCGCCACGGGCGTCGACCCGGCGGAGGAAGAGGAGCGCCATTTGCAGCAGGCCCTCCTGGCCTCGGTCTTCGGCGAGTCCAAACGCGCACCGGCCAACATTCCCATCCCCGTTACAGAATCCGTCACACCCCCTGCTATCCCAGGCGCCCTTTTCCGCCGCCCGGAACAGTACATCATGTTTGACAAGAGCGATCACGATTTAGAAGACGCCTGCGTGGATTACGACGCCGATCACGTCGACAAAGCCTTCGTCACCGCCATCAACAAAGCCAAACCGAACAACACTCCGCTGACATTGGACGTCCTCGAGCGCGCTATGGATGCCATGGAAAAAGCCCAGGGCCGATCAGAAGCCGGCGATGGCCTCGTGCCGTATGCAACCGTCCGTCAAACCCTCGCCCTCGTAGAGATGGCCGGCGGACATCCCGAGTCCACCCGCCGTGAACTTCATTCGCACTGGCACAAACGCCGCACGGAGCGAGGGTTTCCTTTTTTGCGCCTCTACCAGCAGGCCCCGGACCCGAGCAATAACGATCCCGCAGTTGCCTTCCGACCGCGTGATAAGGATAATTTGGCCGGTGCAGGCCGCCGCATGAATACCTACGACAACTTCCGTCGCGCTGTTATTCTGCGAGACGAGCTTAAAACCCTCATCAACGTCATGGATCGCATCGTCGACCGCGAGACCCAAAAGGCTCAGCTGCTTGGCCTGCGCCTGCTCCAGCAGCGTGTCGCTTTGACGTCTGCAGGGGGCCCGCGCATCGAATCAGTCAACCGCGCCATGTTTTCCGGCGAGCAAGAACCCGTCGTTATCTATGGTCCAACACAAATGCAGGTCCTCGTCCCATGCCGCAACTTGCGCCTACCCCCCGAAATTGATGTCGTCTTGAGACGCTTGGGTTCAACTGCAGCAGAGAAGGCCGCAAAGAAGGCCAGGAGGAGAGCCATTCCCAGGACTGCCGACAAGAACCGTTTGGGGCGAGATCACAATGGTCAAATCTCCAACGGAAATCAGAAGACGGGTCCAGGGGGCACTCCTGCTGGCGTCGATACTTTTGGATATGATGAGATGGGAAATCGCTTTCTTAAGGATATGCGTTTCTTTGCCGGCGGGTTTATGAACTACGGAGTTTCCCCGTATGATCATCGCGTTTTTGCCGCGGCTAGCGAACGTAATACCGTCAGATTCAACCCGCGAGAACCGCGGCCTGTGCTCTTTCCCGGTCCGCAAGTACGCTTTGGATCTCTGCCAGACACAGATGAACGACAATTCAGTGGAAAGATTGGCGACAAGGTGATATCTTGCGACGATATCCGAGCAGATATATTTGAAGGAAGGAAACGCAGAATCGGAGAGTCCTTTCACCCTTCGACTACGTCGGCACGAAAAATTCGTCGTGCGTACTACACACGAGCTCGCGTCGGACGTGGCGGCCGCGTGATGCTCGATCGAGTCGTTTTCCAGCGCGAACGTGGTGTGAAAGCAGCCAGTTATCCTGCGTCTGTGGAAGGCGGTGGAGTGTACACGGCTGGTATTCCGCTGGACGCTGCCTCGAGAACATCGAGGGTGGTACGGCGAGGAGGGTTGGGGGATATTATGACCCTTGGGGCTGGACTGGATGAGGAAGAAGATGTTTCCGACGCTGATGAATCTGAGAGTCTTGCGCTTGCGCGAAAGCTTATTCCCTCTTTGAAGCCGATCGTGCGAATGAATGCCGGAATCGGGGTACAACCGGATGCTGTCAACTATTGGCCAAGGAGGCACAGGGGGAAAATGCGAGGAGGGAAAACTCGAGGAGGGAAGAGAAGGAGGGGTCAAACCCGACAGGAAAGCGAGAGTCTGGGGACATCGGATGATTGGGAACAACATCTGAAAAGTTTACCAGCTTACGCTCCTCGAGAGACTCCCCTCGTGACCCAAGTGTGAAAGTCCTTAAGAGACTCGCTGATCGCTTTCAATCTTTTGTTTATGAGTCATGAATTGTATGCTGGTTAATTTATTTTGTGGATTTCTTTGTACATTATGGTGGTGAGCCGGAATTGTAATACATAATATTGTAAAGTTAAACTCTGAACGTGATGCGCGACTCAACACGATTGCACATGTGCATGCAAGGAATGTCGTCTCTGGATCAGCACAAGACCGATCTGATCAAAAGCAGTGGTAAGCTGTACACGTCTCAATGCGACGATTTGAGACTCTCAGGGATACTTTCAACGCTCCCTGCTGAAGCTTTGACTAGTCTGTTCATTACGGCCGCGCCGATGCCATCTCCGGTGTCTGGCGGGGGCACAGCAAGAATAATCGCAACCTTCTCCATCCTTCCCTTCCCCTCGCCATCAAACGCTCTTAGAGCGCCGTATAATTCCCTTGCAAAACTCGCCACGTCCCCCTCCCGTCCGCAATTAACCGTTACCACCCCCGACACCTCTCGCAACTGCTCACACACCGCATCATTCGCCAGCACACCGACGAGCTTTCCTTTTCTCCTCTCCTCCTCAAGTCGCTCCTTCACTCTGGTCCTCTCTACTATAGTCATCGGGGCAACCGGCGCATAATGCCGGTACTTCATCCCCGGGGCCTTTGGCCTCTCTACAGCTTGCCCCCTCTCCACTTCCCGGAACGGCACGCCGCTGACCCTTTCAAGCTCCCTCACAGACACAGCGCCAGGACGAAGCACAGACGGGTTATGCGGATCCGTCATATCTACGACTGTGCTCTCTACGCCGCAGTTGGCGTCATCCAAGGCTAAATCGCCCGCGTCAACGACGCCGAACACAGCGCCGTCCAAATCCCGAATGACGTGGGCCGCAGACGTGGGGCTCGGCCTCCCCGACCTGTTTGCGCTCGGGGCTGCAACAGGCACGGCGGCCTTGGCGAGAAGGGCGGCAGCCACAGGATGCTTCGGGACGCGCAAGGCGACGGATCGCAAGCCAGCCGTGACGGCGGCGGCCAGCGGCGAGCGCGCGGCCAACGGAAGGACGAGGGTGAGTGGACCCGGCCAGAAGGCTTTCGCCAGGCGCGCAGCGGCGGGGGACAGGGGAAGGGGCGTCAGCGGCCAGCGGGTCAAGTCAGAGAGGGAGGATACATGGACGATGAGCGGGTTGTCGGATGGGCGGCCCTTCGCGCGGAAGATGGCGGAGACGGCGGAGGGCGTGAGGGCGTTGGCGCCCAGACCGTACACGGTCTCGGTGGGGAAGGCGAGCAGGTGGCCGTCGCGAAGAGCGGCGGCGGCTTCGGCGATGTCGATTTCGGAGGTGGGGCTGAAGACGGTCGTGGCAGAGTATGTCGGAGGGGAGGGCATGCTGGATGGGGAATAGTAAGAGGCGCAGAGGGGGGGAGAGAGAGATTGCGGAGAAGGGACTCAGGGTGAAACGGAAGATGGGGCGGTAGTCGATGTCCGTGACGGTCGCCGACCGTCGCCGACCGTCGCCGCGGAACTGCGAATCCACGTGACAAGGTCGGGAGGAAGAGTGGGAAGTTGAAATGTTTTGACACGTGTACCCTTCCCCGCATGTATAATTTGGTAACATCTTTTTTAAATTAACTTAAAAACTACTTCCCCTTGCCCAAATGAGGTCAGACTGGTGGTGATGGATGCTCTGCGTTTGCTACCCAACGGGGAGGAGATACAGAATCTCTAGCCGTACTGGATCAGAGAAACCCCGAATTTTCTTTTATTGGTGCGGCAATACACGGATATTTAGAAAAAGGTCTATTCGGTAATTTTTAAATTATTAAAATAAGCACCAGAGAGAGCGTACCTATAACGCGGACACGTGTACCCAGTGTCCGCACTTGGTTTTCCTCTACTAGGAGCAACAAGAACTGTGAGTTCCCAAATTAACCTTTTTTACCGAATAATACTTTTCTGGAGTGGCACGCGCCATGCTCCATGGGTGCATTTAAAACCTGATCGATGCACCAAACAACCTAGTTGTTTGACATCTCTATGAAGAGCTCTGTTGCTTCCTACATTACGCATGCATTGCCATTCCAAACAGTTTATGCTTCGCGACAGCGTTTCCCAACAAAAGGTCACAGTCACAAGCGCTAATGCGTATATACGTTCCCTATATAGGGAACATGTCGTGCAAAAGTCTCATATAATGGACTAATATGAGGCTTGTACCAGTCCTTGCACAGCAACAATCTAAGGCAAGAGAACAAACATCTCTCCAGTTACAGGGAATAGAATCCAAACGACTGCAACCGGCATTCATGTGGTGGAGGGGGCGTCGAATCCCAACTTTAGTTCCACAACACTGCCTCATGGTCACCCGCCGTCTGGCTAATATCTTGAGAGTATGAGCAGTGTGATGTACAGTATGTGAAGCTGGTCCGTGAGGATGTTTCGACTTTATAATATATGCCGTCATCGCCATGATGACCCCAAGAAGAATATTCTTTTTCTATTCTCACGTCGCCGGAACAGATATTGCGTTGGAAAAGGATGCGGGCCCTCAATTCTGCTTTTGCGCCACAGGTGACCAATAGAATCAAGTGAACAGGTACATGCGGATTACAATTAGAACTGACACGTGTTCTTTTTGCCAATAGTTTTGCGTATCCACAAATGCTATCACGCCCCCTACAGTACAAATGTGACGCAAGGAAGACGTCAGAACGAGCCGCCGTTCGTAACAGAGAAGAATTGGATGATGCCGTTATCTTTCATGACACGCAGCGCCATGGTGCGTCGTTAACAGTAAGTCCACACTTCCGTTGTTGCGTTGCGGCTTCCTCTGTCCTATGCTGCTAAACGCCTTGAAATCTCTCATTTAGAGCATTGTTCGTGGTATTTTCACAATCCGACGTTGCATTGATTATGGCTGTTGTCGTCTCCGTGATGCGGGCGTCGCATAGGCGTTGGAGGCAATGCTAAAATGTACCTTTATTCCACTCCGTCTCTCCCTCCGTGTCCGTGATGCGTGATGCTCGTATGATATGCAAAACATGTGTGCGGTGATTGTCAGTCCACTGTATGAGGCGATCATAAATGCAAAAGAGCACTGTTGAACACGTCGGAATCATTCCCTCTTTTGAGGTCTAATGAGCTCTTTGAAGCGTTATGGATGTACATACAATTCATTTCAGCGATCCCGTTGGGACTGACCTTGCCGTCAGCAGCTGCAGTTCACAAATACAGTTTGCTGTCTTCCCGACTCTGCTCAGTCACTGCTATGTGTAAAGGCCACCAGTTTGCCGAATGTTGTAGACACTAGTACTGTATCTGTTCCCATCAGTCAGCGCTGCGGCTGCAGTCCCAGAAGAAACAGGGACGTGTTCATGTCGACAAATTCAAACCAAGGCATGCTCTCGTTAAAAATTAGAAATTTTTCTGCTAGTCTGAGAAAGCCCTTCGTTTGAGCATTGGCTACGACTTGAGATGGGTCATAATATTCCGGCAACACTAATTACTGACAGGTGTACTCCCGTTTCGACGCGTCGTCTCTCCCCCTTTTCGGACTTCTCGGTTCGGGTAAATAACAATGTTTTTACTGTTTTACACTACGAAGGGCAAACTATCTGGGAACATATCTTGCATTTAGACATAGGCACCCTTCAGTGTGTGTTCGACCAGTCACAACGTAGATGATGGTAATCTTACATGGGGCGATATTCCAAGCATGGCCATGACATGCACATGGGTGTCCGATAAGAGGACAAGCTTTCATCACGTCAAAACTCCAGCTATTGTAGAAATCTGAACGCATGGGTTTTATGGTATTGATGAGTGTTAAGCTGTATCTCGAGTGTGAAAGTAGAGTGTGCTTTTACTGTGCTTGCTCATCAGGGGGGACGACTTTTTGCTGGAGGGTGTGATAGTAGGCGATGGCAAGGGAAGATGAAAACATGAAAGGCAGATGTGCTCTTTGTAGACAAATTTCATCTACGGTCTTGCACGGTTCGCAGTGCCACTCGTGAAGCTGTCACAATGGACTTGCAAGGATACTGATCTTGCTTTCAATTGGTCTGTCACACTCGCTATCACTGATGAAGAAGCAGTGCTGGGCCCCAGTTCTGCCTGTGCTATGAGGGCAACAGCACTGTATACTGTGTTTTTGTTTTGGTACAATACACGTATGTCACGTTTTCCTTTATTTTGTGGGTTGGTTTTTTCAGCACCCCGACAAGAGAGGTTGGGAGTCAGTAGGTCAAAACAACGTGTGCATGAACTTGAGTTCATGGAGATTGTTGTGTGCGAGACACTGCGGTTATGTCTTTCCAAACCCAGCCCTCGGTCCTCTTTTTAATTTCTGCGGCTGGCTAATCAATCGACGTACACACAGAGTGAATACTGGGCAAAGTTCTCGAAGTGGTAGCGTATTCTTAGAGAGGCATTCAGACGAGGAGATGGATACCGTAAATCAGTAAGCACTACATTCCCCTTGAAAGGAGTTGGAAGGACCACAAATTGTCCCTAGTGTGACATGTGGTGAATTCAAACTCTCCCTTTCCAGTCTCTCCTATCGCGACTCCTTCATTGCCCTCCTGCACACTTTCTCTGCATGCTCGAAATCTTTTACACTTTTTCTGCATGCTCGAAATCTTTTACAAAACCTGCAGCATTGCTGCAACATACCGCATTTGGGATGAAGAAAGCAATAGTGAGCCTCCGCCACTCATGCAAAGACGGTCATCGTTGGTTTCGTATTCTGTATATGCAGTGCGGTGTATTCAGATACAGTAGGTAGGTCCTTTGAAAGCTATTGGCATTGGATAACTCACACCAGTTTTCGTTGTATAGTTGGTGGGCCTGACCTGTCTAGCTAGGAGAACTCTCATTGGTATTGGTCGCATACACTGACGAGAATTAATCTCAAGCCTCCAATGGCCACAAACGGCACTCAAACCCTGCCCTGTGACACCATTGCTGTAACATTGCGTGCTGTTGTTCATGTCAAGATCGGACCATTCATATCGCTTTATTTTCGATTATGCCATTATTCGCCACGTCATTGGTAATTTTCAGGTTGCTGAGAGTAGCATGCTCATCTTCCAAACGCCACTGGGCTGCGCTGGACAAAGACTCCCCCTAAGCTCACCAGCATGTGGCCATCCTTGTCCCAATGTCCCACTGCAGGTCCTATCTGCCGTTTCTCATTGTCTCACCACAGCGCACAGGATATCACTACATTCCCATGCCCAATTACGCTTTCTCGCAAGTCCGTGAATATGAGATCGAAACGAGGTAGAAATGAACAGACGGGGAGAAGACGACGACGAAAGAGAAGGCAGTCGTTGAAAGAGCGTACGACGCTCAACCATATTCTTCAAAACACTCGTTTAATTGCGTTGCCACTTCGAAAACAGAAACAGATCGCTGCCTTCAGGCGTGAAACAGATTGAGAAGCATCGCCTCTACGTTGGCAATATCGACAGAAAACAAAGATAGTTGTAACAAAACACTGAGTTCAACCATACCGGCCTCATGTTCGATTGCTACTATACACACAGCTGCGTCTCCTTTTCAGTCCTCAGGAATGCTCTGTACGGAGCACGGACACTCTCGCAATCGGAATCTTCAGCACCGATTCCCGAGACGGCACAGTTGTCTCTCAAAAAGGAAACAACACAAGCAGATAGGGAGGTGCAAAACGTTCAAAAATCTGACTTGCTTGCGGCCATCAAATGTGTGCCTTGGTGCGTCAACGATGTAGTGCGACTTGGAAACCAAAGGCTTTGTCGAAAGCTTGCGAGGATAAGCGAGTTTCCAGTGCATAACATGTGCACATCGTAAAAGGGTTGCCGAAAAAGCGAAAGAATTCGGAGGTACAAAAGATAGTGAACAGCCTTTGTAAGTCTTGTAAGGATGAGCTGCTCACCAAAACTGGGCGTACCAACTACGAATGAGAAGAGTGCCCTCCGGAACGGTGACGCTTGGGTGAAGGCGGAGCGGGGGGGGCCGGGAGCGTGGCTGAGGCTTTTGAACCAACCGAATTGTCGGTGGCGGCAGGGGCGGTTGGGGAGGGGCATTGGGGCGCCATGTCTCGAATGCAAAACGGCATAGACCAGGGAAAATCAGGGACACATTGAGGTGGGTCTGATGGCCGTACTCGCTTGAGGGGGGGTGGGGAAGGCATGGAGGAGAAAGAGGAAGCAGGGCGAGGGCGGTGATGTGGGGGGTTGGTTCTCGTCATGTCGCAGCGGGGAGGACTGGGGTAAGGGATGTGCGTCTGTGGTGCCTTGGTTTTATGAAGGCAGTGGTTGTGGTAGGAGGTGTTGACGGTGAGGTGAATGGAAGTGGCAGTGTGCGAGTAATTAGCCACTGTGCAAACAAAACTATTCGGAAGGCGAGAA